ACATCCTTCTGGTGTGTTAGTATCCAAGTGAACATCAGGAAGAGAACCCTTTGCAGCAGAAGCTGGAGAACGGTTTAAAAGTACTGCAGAGGGAAGCACTGTGAGTGAACTTGGTTGTATGAGGTATATTATGTTAAGCTTTTGTGGATGAAGATTTCAGCAATTCATTCCAGACAAGCCTCTCACTGCCTGTTCTTACTGTACCTCCCCTAAGGCACACACAGATAAGTTCTTTCAACACTCAAAATAGCACTTGTGGCAGAGACTTCAAGCTACTTCGTTCCCCATTCTTTGTCATGCTCATGATGGCATTTTATCGCCCTCACATTTGCAAGTATGTTCGTTATACTAGCAGATGTACAAAGGGAGTAAAATAAACAGTGGTTCATTTTGATCCATGCACTTAGTTTTCTAAGGACCCTTTTATTTCAGCATCATGGAGGTTGTCAAAATTAGGCTTCAGAGATGTTTGAAATGTTTTGTTTTATTTAAAACTGAAACAGCTATTTGCAATAAATCAGTGTGATTATTTGCACTGGCTTTGTCTGTGTTGCTGAACAGTATGGTATTTTAAAAGTGTAAGGCGATGCTTTGCTTCAAGTCTCCCACTTCAAAAGTATCTAAGACAAATGTATAGTGCTGTATTTTGACATTCACACTGCCTGGCAGTAGGTCTTCTTAGAGCAGTTGAGTAAGTGGGGCTTACCCTTTCATTTCTGCACAGAGCATATGCAATGGGCAGTGGTAAGCATAATCCTGTTAAGTGGCAGTACTGTGCATCTTCCTAACTTGACTTTTGAATAAGTTTCTTCATCTGCTATACAAATATACATTTGTATTGATGTTCTGTACTATAACGGTAGCTTGTACACAGATGTACTGAACATAGCCCTTTTAATCACATAACCAATACACTCTGGCAATCTCTTACGTGCCTCATATCATCTCTTCCTTAATACCTTAGTTGACATTGGTACAAGTGTCTGTGGAAAAGAGATGCAAAGCTGAAAACGTCTTTCCATCTCCAAAGATAATTCAGAATGAAGAGAGAATATGTTAATAGAACTCAAAGAAGACCAAACAGAAACAAGAAAAATCTGCAACCAACGAAAACCACATACACCCCCTACCCTCCACCCCAAAGAAGGAACTCTGTTACTGCTGGGAGTTTATTTGATGGTATTTTGGGGAGAAAAACAACCTTCTTAATAAGGAATACCTAGTTGCTTGTCACCAGCCAGATTAGCACTTAATGTAAAAGACAGCATATTTTTTAAATAATTGCTTCAAAGGACAGGGAATGAGCAATTGCCCATTACTGTTGAAATGATTCTGCCAACCATAAGAGATGTACTCTGCCTGGGGTTGCAGGTCTCACTAAGCACGTGGTAAGGCTTTGGAGCAGAAGATTAGCATTAGCAGGATGCCTAAAACAACTAGATGTGCATGAGCTTTGAGAGGAATTATGATCTTTATGTGAGACCTAACATCATAGCCATCTTTGGAATAAAAGTTTTCTCTTGCTTGTTATATTTCTTTTTGTAAGCAAGCAATACATGTTAGTTTGCACCGTGACTGATGTGTTTTATAGGTCACTGATTTCCAGTGGGTCTTAGCTGCAGTTGCACCCAACAAATGAGCAGTCGAAGACAAAAGCCTATTTTAACAGCAGTATTGGGACTGCAGAATTCAGGAGGAAGGAAGTAGATTTTCATGGTGGTCATCATTTGAAGGAAGCACTTAAGAGGAATTGCAGGGAGTAATTTCCCCTGGTATCAGACCACTGGGCAGGAGCAAGGAGGGGATGTATCCCTCTGCCCAGGCACTAAACTGCATTTCTGTGCTTCATGGTGTGAGTATTCACATTATGGGAGGAGTATTCACAGGGAAAATCGTAAGAGAAATCCTGGCGATAGCTGCTATTGTTATACTGGTTCTCTGAATTGTTCCTAGACTCACACTGCTGAAACTTCTTGGCAGTCTTCCATGGCAGCTAGCTCTTTGCAGAAGGCATGCAATCTAGGACAGTGAATTAAATCGTTACTGGTTTTGCACACAGGAAGATGATCCATAAAATGGCTGCAAAGAACAGACATGCAGACATTTATTTAGGGGCTGGTGTATTTCACTGTCACGGGCCACTCCAGCCTGCAGCCAGCCCCTCGCTCCTCCCTGTGACCAAACTGTGGGAGGGCTGCAGTTACTTTGTTCACATGAAAAGCAACAGCACTGGGTATCCACCACCACCACAACCACTTTCTACACTTTCAAGAGCTGAAACAGTAGCAGGACAAGATCATGGTTCAGGGATTTTTGCCACAAAAGGTTATGTAGCTCTTCAGTTTAACAATTTGCTGAAGCTATTAGGTTATAGAGAATGGCTGCTGTCAAATGTAACGCTGGGTGCAAGTGACTTGGGACGCAAGAATTCAATGGATCTTAAAGAGCACTGTTCCTGAACAGTTTGCCTTTTTTTCATGTAAGTTTGCTCTGCACTCAGGAAAATTCTGGAGCAGGTTTGGGAAGTTTTGACTCACAGATGATAGAGCTTTCTGAATGAATAATATATATCAAAAATAAATGGCACTAATAAGGAAGTACCTGTTCCAATAACTAGGTACAATTTCTATTGCCTTATTACAGCTTCCAGCATAGCAGATTTAGGTGTGCACTGATTTTCATTGATGTTTGTGTTTGGTTTCGGTTTTGGTTTGGTTTTTTTTTTTAGGCTACAGCTGGATAGCTCTATTTTATATCAGTGTAGATGCTCATAATTTCAGATGCAATAAGGAAGCAAACACCTACTGTCTCAGGTTTACCCCTTTGCAACTATTTGAAGCCATACAGTAACTCACTGAGCAAGCAGAAGGTGCTTGAAACTGGTCACAGAGAGTGATTATACTGAAACATGTATTTAAATGTTCTTTAGGGGGAAAGTACTTTGTAAATAGGCTTCATCCTTGACTAGCTATCACTTTGCAAGTGAACATTTGAGTAATCTAAGCTTAACTTTACTTATTAAGCTTCTTATATATTTTGAAGAACTTTTAAGACTAATACAACTATTGCACAAATCGAGGTAGTTGTCTTTGGAAATAATAGCTTCTTGAAATTATATTAACTCTGTTGAAGTTATATTTAGCAGGTGAACTGGTAAAAATTAATTCTTCCCCAAATTCCACTTTCTTGTGTTGATAACATTTCTTAGAATTTTCAGTTCATTCTGGGTTCTTGCACAATGATAAAGAACCTCTTAGTACACAGTGCCTAGGTATACCTGTTAATGTAATATTAAGCTACATTATATTCTAATTGAGAGCATCCCTGAGGAAACAGACTTGGTAGTGTTGGTTGATGAGAAGCTCCACATGACTCTGCAGTGCGCGTTTGCAGCCCAGAAAGCCAACCATATCCTAGGACACATCAAAAGGAGTGTGACCAGCAGGTCAAGGGAGGTGATTTTTTTCCCCTTCTACTCCGTCCTGATGAGGCCCCACCTGAAGTACTGCATGCAGCTCCAGAGCCCCCAACATAAGAAGGATGCGGACCTGTTGGAGCGAGTCCAAAGGAGGCCACAAAGATGCTTCAAGGGCTGGAGCACCTCTCCTGTGAAGACAGGCTGAGCTGGGCTTGTTCAGCCTGGAGAAGAGAAGGCTCAGGGGAGACCTCATAGCAGCTTCCAGTACCTAAAGGGAGCCTACACGGAAGCTGAAGAGGGACGTTATAGAGGAGCATGCAGGAATAGTTTAAGGGGGGAATGGCTTTGAACTGAAAAAGGGTAGATTCAGATTAGACATTAGAAAGAAGTTCTTCACTGTGACGGTGCTGAGGCACTGGCACAGGTTGCTCAGAGAAGCTGTGGCTGCCTCCTCACTGGCAGTGTTCAAGGCCAGGTTGGATGGGGCTTTGAACAACCTGTTCTAGTGGGAAGTGTCCCTGCCTGTGCCAGGGAAGTTGGAGCTAGGTGATCCTTAAGGTCCCTTCCGACCCAAACCATTCCGTGATTCAGTGAAAACAAATTCATGTTGCATCATTTCTCCCTTGTATACTCCCAGCCTTGTATCAAATGTAGTTCACAGGAAAAATAGGAGACTGTAGTAAGGAACTTGGGAAACCATTGCTCCGTTTCCAGTTTTGCTGCTGATTCTGGCCAAGGGAGTTGTTTTTTTAAAAATGAAACTAGGATTTGACTTTGAAGGAAAATTGCAAGTTTTCACAAGCAGTGACAAATTCTACTCTAAATTTGCTCAAAAGCCCTAATGCTGATGAACTTTGCAGGGCACTTTGGAAGGAGCAGTTATCTTCCTATTGCTGTCCACCTGTTTCCCAAGCTTTATTGCTATCTGGTTACGCAGCTTTGGACTGTGTAGCAGGTTGGCACCTGGGCTTGCCAGTTGTGGAGAACCTGAGGAACAGGCAATAAGAAAAAGGAAATTGCAACTTTCCTGAGGGCTGTTTTGATTTTGGTTGAGATGTTTTGCATCTCAGTTTTCCATTTAAAAATACAGAAAATCGTTTACTGCATTTGCTGATCAGGTTTCGTAAACCTGTCCTCGCTTGTCATCTTCAAGATAGGAGTATTTAATCTTTTTGTGTTTGTCAGTGGGGGCGGAAGAGATGGCTAATTCTTTTTACATTGGTTTATTTGTATATATGCTAAGTCCAAGCTTATGTCTAAAATGTGGTTTTTTGTAAGTACCAGGGTTTTAACCATATTGTTTTGGTTTTTTTTTTTTGGTATAAAGCACTTTCTCTACCTTGTTCTGTGGTTCTGCTGTGCCACTGAGAAGATAGGGAGAATAGAACAAGATCATGTTCGAAACTTTTTCTCTTGTCACTTCCATCTGTGTATGATTTTTCATTACAGATTTATGTGGTCTATATATTATTCCATTTTGTTAAAAGTAAAGCATAATAGGATATAAAATAATGGAATTGGGTATCTGTTGTAGTAGGACATTCTTTTCTCATTTTCCTTACATATGTGTAATACATTTTAGGTATGGGAAAATTGTATCTACGAAGGCTATTTTGGATAAGACAACAAACAAGTGCAAAGGTATGTATATTTGCCTTTATATTACATTCACCTGAAAGTCCAAATTGATTCTGTAAAATATGCTAATATATTTTAAGTGCTTTTAACCTTTTTTCTTTCGGGGGGGGGGGGGGGGGAAGTGGTGCTGCTGTGTGGGTCTTCCTCCCCCCTTTCTTTTTTCTTTTCTTCTTCCCATTTTTATTCCTGAACTAGTCTTACTCAATACATTTCTTTCCAGTGAAGCTGGCAGACAGCCTGTGTCAGTGGTGCAGCCGAGCCAGAGTGGAGCTGACATGCATAGGGCTGGCTGGCAGTTTGCCTCTATTTTAAAAACAAAAATGGAGTTAAAAGCAGCTTTTCACCCTTTTGCCTGGAGAAACCAGGGAATCTTGCAGAAGACCATTCAACTGTACTAAGCATCTGAAAAAATTACACATTGTGGAAATCGGCTCCATTGACTAGAGTAGTTTAAAGCAGCACTTAATTACATGTTCTAATACTCTTAATTGTGTTTTGTTATATGCTTTTGAATGTATTGGGAGCAAAGCAAGGGTTCATTTTCACCACAGTAATTGCAGCTGGAAAAAAAATTAGAACTCCTTTAGATAAGCTGGATGCATCAGTTCAATTATTTTCATCACTCATTGCAATTGTAGTGAGATCATATCCCAGCAATGTGCATGGTGGGAGAAGGTGTGGTAATATCAGATTTCAGACTTTCTTTTTTTACAATTAAAAGGATAATTTCTGAGCAAAGTGAAGAATTAAGTCAGCTGATTTAGCAATGTTAATAAGCGTGAAGCTCGTGAATGTGCATAAAGGTGATAGGCAGAGGCAGGAGAGGCGAGTTCATCATTAATACAGAGTTTTTGTGCAGAACGTGGAAGCAGCGGCATAGCTTCTCAGCTGTGCTCCTCATCTTAAGCAATTAAAGGTATTCTGACAGCTCAGAAACTGAAAATTCTATAGTTTTTTTTTTTTCCTAGTTTGTATGCAGATGTCACCTGCATATATTGTGACTAGGAAAGAGGAGATGCCCCTTTCAATTATTTTAATTCATTAATATCTATGACAGCACTTAACTGATTTAATCTGGCCACTCCCACCTTTCCTGAAGGCTTCAGTAGTTCTGTCAGTGGTACAGAAATTCTCACATAAGAGATTTAAGCTGACTTTTTCGATGCAGATTTTAAACCTCACTGGTGAAAAGCAGTAACTAACATTCTGCTGAAACAATATTCAGCAAGGTAAGGCTGTAAGGAAGCTTACTGCATGTCATTAAAATTACATAAGTAGGCAGAATGCAAATATCTAACTGGAATTTACCCAAAAGATTTGACAGCATCTCTGTCTCTTGCCAAGAAAACATACCATGGAATTTGAACTAACTGGAACACAAGCAATTGAGTTTATATAACATCTAGAAGATGGCAAAGCCAGCTTCGATGGCATGCTTGGTATCAGTATGCAACTTCATCTGTATTTCACCCTGCAGTGTGGTGGTGTTGATAACCTGGGCTGTCATTGGTACGGAAAGCTAGTTTTGGGTATGGAAAGTTAGTTTGCCTTGGCAGCACAAAACTTGATATGAGCTAATTCACTCTGTTTCATGTCAAGATTTAACAGTCCACAACACCACGTGTTACACAGAACAATATGCTGCTTTCTTCAGCTTCTTGGCAGGTTAAATAAGCTAGCACTGATGTACAAGGCTGCTCGAATTGTTTTTCCCAAATTAAGGACTTCAAAGCTGGTTCAGTTATAGCTCTACACAACCTTTTTTGTCCTCAGTATAGATATATCGTTGTAAGAGAATGCTATTACCTTCTGAAGAAAGAATTCAATTTTCTACTCCCCCAGAATTGTGTTTTTTTTTTTTTATTGGTGGGTTGTTTTTGTTTTCTTTTAACCCAACTTAGACATTGGAGAGGGATTTATTTAATATTTGAGGCAGTTCACTGGTGGGAAAGAATGGGCTTGAAAAATACAGAATGATGTTTGCAATAACATTATGGGGAAGTAGCTTCCAAACTCTTCCTGCCTTTTGGTCAGACTTGAGCATCCAATTCCCAAGTAGCATTAAAAATTGAAGCCTGTAAATGCCAAAGTGTATGGCTGTTCAGATGTCCTGGATTCTATTAGCTGTATGTTGTTGTTCAGAATGAGAAAAGAAGCTATTGCAACTCTATGGAAATATACAATTAACTTTGGGTTTACTTTAACATTTAAAGACTGCATTATAGGGCATAGAAAATGCTTTTAGGACAACTTTTTACATTCTGGTTTCAGTAACAACAATGGAAAAACTATCTGCTCTCACTGAAGCTGGGTTTTCTCTACTTAAATTTAACTATATATATATACAATGAAGTAATTCACCAAAAATTGGGTTATGATACAGTAGATAAGCATCTTTTAAACTAAATCTTCTCTCAGCCTTGAATAAATTACATGTAACTTGGAGGATTGTCACTTATTTTCATACGGGACTAAGAATTTAGTTTAGAAAAATTAACAGAATATGCTTCACTCTGACCTCTATGAAATAAACTGATGTCACATTTGCTCTTGGATGATACATACCAGGTAACATAAAACAAAACACCATGCTACTTGTTGGCAATTTGGACAAAATTCTGATAATGATTGGGCATGGAAATTGATTTGTTCCAGTGGGGTAGCTCCCCACCAGTTCAAGGTTGAAGGACTTTAGTAGACGATTGGTTTTCTTCTTGGGGACTACATGAAGAGCTTTGGAGTTCAAATTGACCCTCTTCCCCAACAGGAAAATTGTATTAACTATGCTAGTAGCATATGAACTCGTTATAAGTTGGTTGCTGTCTTGTTAATGAGTATGCTTTATATTTCAGGTTATGGTTTTGTTGACTTTGACAGCCCAGCAGCTGCTCAGAAGGCAGTTTCCGCTTTAAAGGCTAGTGGAGTCCAAGCACAGATGGCAAAGGTGGGTTAAAATACTGTTTTTTCCATTGGCTTCATCAAAAGAAAGATTAGCAATAAATTTTAAGAACTACCGTTCTTACTGCAGGCTTAATGGTTTAAATACATGTTAATTCCTGAAGCAAGTCAATACCTCAAATAGTTTACAGCACCAAGGGTATGAAAGGTTTTATATGCTGCCTGCTTGTTGTTACTGAGGTTATCAGCCTCTCAATTTGGGGATGAATTTTTAAGCACAGCATGGCAAAATTTAACCTTGTGACTTTGTATTCAGTCTTTCTTTTCCCTTCATGAGTAAAATCTAAATCTGGCCGTTCATGATAGGTGTCTTGAAATTCTTATCCAACTCTTTGACAACCTATTTCTGCATCAGGGCAAACCTAAGCATTATTAAAAATAGAGAAATATGATCTTTCTTCTTTTTCTCTCATTTTTACTGACCCCTGCCTCTGAATCAGCTTATTAACCAGAAAGTGATCTTCAGAGCAATGTTTTTTCTGCCTATGTTTCTCAAATCTATAAAATCAGGGAGATGATACATTAGTAATGATTTTGTTATGCGTTCTTGTTAGGTCACATGGCCCGGTTCCTGTAGAGTGCCATAAACACTGCTACAAATTTATTAAATAAAGAAAATATTGCCAACATAATCTGTTCATGTAATTCATGGTACTTCTTAAAGCAATTCTTCTTTTACTTTGAAAAATATATTCTAATCAGAAAAAATAATAGTCCAGTAATTAACTAGTAATCTTGGAGGCTTTTTTTTTAATAAAGTAGTCTGCTGCAGATCTAGCAAATCTTTTATAGTCAGCTATTAGGCATAGATTTTTTTCAGATGAGAGATTTTTCCACAGCTTCTCAGCTGAGGAGAACAGTTAAGCTAACAACATAAAATGTCTTTGGATGAATTCCAGGGCAACAAAATGGAAACCATATGTTTCATACTTAATGCATGTTTCATTACAGCCATGACACAAACATATATGCTTACTGGAAAACATTTGGTGTGGTGGTGTTTTTTTTTTTTTCCTCTTTTTTCCTTCTTCTTATAAGGTTTTATGCATGGTTAATAAAGACCTTTTGATCTTTAGTTTTTAGGTGATCACTTTAAAATACACACTGGATTTTTCAAAGCCTCTGTCTGCCAGCTTATGGGTAAGATATCTAGGTAGGAGGGTAGAAAAGACAATGTGAAGTCATGTAAATTCATTTTGCTAATGTACTTTGAGGTCTGATTTAATTGTCGTCAGTAGATGGAGAAGCTCTAATAATTCGGCATAGTAATCTGATTAATAGTTTCTTATTTTTTTCCCACAATATATTTTTCTGACTCATTTCCTCTGACAGTTGCAATATACATAGAATCATAGAATGGCTTGGGTTGGAAAGGACCTTAAGATCTACTAGTTCCAGCACCCCTGCCATGGGGCAGGGCCACCTCCCACCAGACCGTGTCGCCCAAGGCTTTGTCCAATCTGGCCTTGAGCACTGCCAGGGATAGAGCATTTACCGCTTCTTTGGGCAACCTGTTTCAGTGCCTCCTCACCCTCATAGTGAAGAGCTTCTTCCTTATATCTAACCTGAACTTCCCCCCTGTTTAAGTCTGAACCTGTTATCCCTTGTCCTATCACTACAGTACCTAATGAAGAGTCCCTCTCCAGCATCGTTGTAGGCCCCCTTCAGGTACTGGAAGGCTGCTATGAAGTCTCCACGCAGCCTTCTCTTCTCCAGGCTGAACAGCCCCAACTTTCTCAGCCTGTCTTCATACAGGAGGTGCTCCAGTCCCCTGATCATCCTCGTGGCCCTCCTCTGGACTTGTTCCAACAGTTCCATGTCCTTTTTATGTTGAGGACACCAGAACTGCACACAATACTCCAGGTGAGGTCTCACAAGAGAAGAGCAGAGGGGCAGGATGACCTCCTTTGACCTGCTGGTCGTGCTCCTTTTGATGCAGCCCAGGATACGGTTGGCTTTCTGGGCTGCAAGCGCACACTGAAGCCGGCCCATGTTCATTTTCTTATCAACCAACACCTCCAAGTCCTTCTCCGCAGGGCTGCTCTGAATCTCTTCTCTGCCCAGCCTGTAGCTGTGCCTGGGATTGCTCCTACCCAGGTGTAGGACCTTGCAGTTGGCATGGTTAAACTTCATGAGGTTGGCATCAGCCCACCTCACAAGCGTGTCGAGGTCTCTCTGGATGGCATTCCTTCCCTCCAGCGTATCAACCGAACCACACAGCTTGGTGTCATCAGCAAACTTGCTGAGGGTGCACTCAATCCCACTGTCCATGTCACCGACAAAGATGCTGAACAGGCTCAGTCCCAACACCGACCCCTGAGGGATACCACTTGTTTCCAGTCTTCAGTTGGACATTGAGCCATTGACCACAAATCTTTGCGTACGACCATCCAGCCAGTTCTTTATCCACCAAGTGGTCCATCTGTGAAATTGATGTCTCCAGTTTAGAGATAAGGATGTCATGCGGGACAGTGTTGAACGCTGTTGCTGTGGTTTAAGCCCAGCCGGCAACCCAGAACCACGCACCAATTCGTTCACTCCCCTCCACTTCCTCCCCCTGCTCCTAGAGGGATGAGGAGGAGAATTGAAAGAATGTAACTCCCACGGGTTGCGATAAGAACAGTCCAGTAACTAAGGTATAACACAAATCACTGCTGCCACCACCAATAATAATAATGATAAGGGAAACAACAAGGGAAGAGAATACAACCAATCAGCATCCACTGACCAATACCCACCTTGACCTGAGCAGTGATCCCACCCTTCCGGGTAACTGCCCCCAGTTTATATACTGGGCATGATGTGCTGTGGTATGGAATACCTCTTTGGCTACCTTGGGTCAGGCGTCCCGTCTCTGCTTCCTCCTGGCTTCTCCTCCTTCCTGGCAGAGCATGAGGCTCAGAAAGTCCTTGATCGGAGTAAACATTATTGAGCAGCAACTAAAAACATCAGTGTTTTCAGCGCTGTTCCCAGGCTGATACAGTCAAAACAGTCAAAAACACACCACTGCACCAGCTACTAAGGAGGAGAAAAATGACCGCTACTGCTGAATCCAGCAGGACAGCTGTGTATGTGTGTTGTTGCAATATAGTTAATATTTCTTTCTGTCAGCATTAATGAAAAAATGTGCACCATAATACCTGACAGTTTTGGTTGATTTTTCTTACAGTGTATCAGGCCTGGTGACCTTTGGGAAATCTGTAACTATAAAGTTTGCATTCCAGTGAAACTTGTTGTTCTGCTTCTAAACATTGGAAGTGTGTTTGAGTTAATAAAAAGAACAACCCCAAACTAACCCAATGGACAGAACCACAACAAACGGTCACAACACAAGTGACTAAGAGCTATTTTTTTTTTTTTTTTTTTTTGCCTTTTGTCTATTTTGAGCCATTGGATTTTAATTATTTTTTTTTTTTTCTCCTGGGCAGTGCTGATCTGCTTTTGTCCAAAAAATCCTGTTTTCACTTGGATGCTCCAAGCTGGGAAGTGTCAGTCACTTACAGTTGTTTTGGCAAGATTAGCAAATTAGACTTTTCACATGCAAGACACTACACAAACAGAAGCTAACTTCTATATTTAATAATCTGTCCTTTTATGTGTTCTCACCTGTGCCATGCGTGGTCTTCTTGCAGTGAAACTGCTCAAGCTTAAGCCTGAGTATCACAGAGAAGGATTGGGAGGACAGTATCTCAGATGTCTGGCTGACACATTTCCTTACTGACCACTATGACTGCTTCAGTCTCAAAGAGAAATAAATGCCTGTTGGCAGGATTCGTCTGTGGGAAGGCGTTGTTGTTATGCTATGCCCAGGGTTTCAGCCAACATCATGGCTCCTCGGTATTCTTGCCCTCCTCCCAGACGTGGTGGTAGTCCCTGACCTGCAACAACTGAAGGGATAGGAAAATGTTATTGCTGAAGCCTTGTTCTGACTCTGGCTGCTGTAAAGCCCTTTTTGCAGTGTCTTTCTGTAGCTGTAGGTTAGTCAGTTAAAAATTAGATCAGCAAGTTCATTTATAAATCCTAGTTTAGTAGCAGTGGTTCAGATTATACCTATTCAAATCTTTGTTATTTCATTTGTGGAGATAACTTCAAATATTTTACTGTGTGAGCTTTTCCTATCCGTGGTGTAAGATCATGCTGTACTTGGCAGTCTGGTTTCAAGTTGGTCTGACTCCAGAAAAATCTAGTCTCAGCCACTATGTTTCTGCTATTGCTGAGCAGTCAGGAGGGTCTGGGGCCCGAGATGTGCCTTCAGGCCAAATCCTGCTAAATCTGTTCCAGGGGGATCACTGCTGGTGACACCTCAGGAGATGTCACGATGATGGTGTCAGTGAAAGAACAGAGTGTCAGATGACTGCCACTGCTCAGGAGACATTATGTCTTCAGTTATTCTCCTTTTTCTGGATCTGAATTGGGAGTGCTTGACTAAGATGAAACAACTTGAACTGTTTTGGTCTGTGCTGTATAACAGTATCTTCCTGTACCCACTGAAAGGGAAACGCCTGCAACAATTCCTGTTGGTCAGATAATGCTGTGGAGAGCTTACGTAAGATGATACTGCATTGCCAGGGCATGGGAATAGCTTTTGGATGGAAATTTAAACTAGAAATACTGGGCTGTTGCCTTTCTTCTCCCTTCCAGTTGACTATTACCAGTGTTCAGTCTTGTCAGAGTGTATAAGCGGCAGCAGGAAGGGATCAGGAGGTGATGTGAGCTATTGGTAGCCAGCTTGCTTCAGTACCTAGTACAAAACCAATAGCCTGTATGTTACTACAGACATGAGGTACGGAAAGAGAAGATACATGTCTTTCAAGACTGTTGTAATTTCTAAACTAGTAAGTAACTAGTGAGTGTATAATTTTTATTTTCATTCATTTTAGTTTCTTGAAATTTCTTTAACGTAATTAAGTTCTTTGATTATAAACCAGTAGTAATGGGTTAAAAAGCTCCTATTTTGCAGAGCTGTGCATTCTTAGATAAGCTTAA